GCATCCCAGGTGATGCTACTAGCATCCCAGGTGAAGCCTCTAGCATCCCAGGTGATGCTACTAGCATCCCAGGTGAAGCCTCTAGCATCCCAGGTGATGCTACTAGAATCCCAGGTGAAGCCCCTAGCATCACAGGTGATGCCCCTGGCATCACAGGTGATGCTACTAGCATCCCAGGTATTTTCTTTAGCATCACAGGCAATGCATCTGTTAATCATCAGATACAACTCGACCTAGTATCTCAGTCAAATAGGGCCGTACTGCTTTAAACCGAAAAACATGGACTGTATTTTATGGTAAAACGTGGATGGGAAGTGAGCTCCAAATTTGGAGTTTACATGTGGAGCTCACCTTTCTTGACCTCTGCAAAGAGATGTGCTGCTTCTTGTTGAAATATTGATGGTAAGAAATGTATTTGAAGTCTAAATAGTGTTGCAGCAAGAATTGAACCTTGCGGAGCTCCTACTTCCATTTTTATTGTCCTTGAAAAAACGTCTCCATAGTGGATAGATATTGTACGATTATTTAACCATGATGTTATCCATTTTATATATGGTAGAGGCATATCCAGTTTTTCCAGTGAGTATATGAGGGCTGGAAACCACATTCTATCAAATGCAGTCATGAAATCCGCAAAGATTGCTAGAGCTGGACGATTGCATGCTGTTACTGTCAATCTCATATCCTCTATTAGTGAAATTATTCTGGTTTGAAGTCTTCTATGAGCTGTAAATCCCGATTGTTCATTAACAACTATATTTTTTGCTTAGCACCAATTTAGTATTCTTTTGTGAATAATTCTTTCATACCATTTACCTAAGTTAGGGAGAAGTGATATAGGCCTTAATTTATTTTCTGTAGGATATAATCCATCTTTGGATATACATATTACTTTTGCATGTTTACTTTTTTCGAAGAAACTTCCATTTTTTGCACATTTATTGAATAATACTGTTATTATTCCTAAATATTCTTTAGGAAGTTGTTTTAGTATATATGCAGATGTTCCTGCACTATCCGTTGATTTTTTTGATTTGAATTTTTTCCATTCATTTTCAACTTCTGTCAACGTAATCTGCTCTAATAGAATATTAGGCAGATATTTAATTTGTTCGTAAATTTCTATAGCTTGTATATGTTTATGGGATATTATTAAGCGGTCAGTAAAATAAATGAAATGGTCAGGAAAATAGATGAAATGATCAGTAAGATAAATGGTCAGTAAAAAATGTATAAATAATCAGTAAAAAGATTAAATGGTCAGTACTTAGATTATCACTCATATAAAAAAAAGATAGGAAAAAATCTGATTTTAATCGATTTTTTTGT